AGCACAACTGTGTCTGACAGCAGCTGGATGGATGGTCTGTTTTCCTCTCCTCTGTCTTGAAAAACCTCCAGCTTACATGGAGTCACCTCTGTTGAAATGTTTGTTAAGGTGTAACTATAGAGGGGGTGATATTTGGCTCATGAACGCTAGGCAGGCTCTCAACCTTGTTGCTTGGGAGTCCAGATTAGAAGATGACTTGGCCTGAGAGCAGAAGCCTGCCTTCACCTCGGTGTTGATCCTTATAGTAGTGGACCTATGCAATATTCATTCTTCAGTGATTGACTCACTTCACTCAGCATCAAAGTCATCATCATTTGTGAAATGAAATAATGTATACATTTAAATTTTAAATGTATACCTTTTAAACTTGACCACAGAAGGAGACATGTAAGAGTGTTTGTGCGAATTGCATGGTATTCATGGCAAGAAGTAAACCCAGAAATGAGGAAGGTGGTGAACACACAGGTTGCAATGACAGAGGAATGGAAAGAGGGAGTCTTTAATTATTTTATTTGTAACATTCTTAGTAATTAAAAAAATATGCACATGTATTGTTTTGACAAAGAGCCATTATTTGAAAATAAACTAACCAAGAATATAAGGAAAATCTCACGTTTATGAAATCATCATTATGTAGATATCAAATTCTTAACAAAGAAAAAAATGAGAAATGATTTTAATTGTATGAACTCACAAATATTGATGCAAATCAAGTGCTAATAAAATAGTAAAGTCAAGGATTGAGAAACCCAAATGAGCCCTAAGGGAATTTACTCCCAGAACATAAGTGTGTTTCAACAGCAGGAAATCAATGTCTCCAGTTCCACGGGTTGGAGCAAGAAGCATAACCATGCCCATAGACTGAAGAGCCACCAGTCTTTCCTGATTAGTGAAATCTTACAGTAAAATAGACATTTTTAACATGGCAAAAATAGTCAAAACCTGTATGATAAAGTGCTTTTGCAAAGCAACAAGAAAAAAATCCTCTCATGGAAAAGTAGTAATAGGAGGCAAAACACAAGTGAATTCAATTGTCCCTAAAACATTTTAAAAATGTTTGATCTTATTACAATATTCTTCCTCTACTCCATCACAAGAGCAGAGATGTGCTCTTTGGTGCCATTTGCAGTAAAATTACCCTGGAACTTTGCTAAGTTTGTCACTGGATCATTTAAAGCAATTTCTGGGCACCTGACTGATGCCTGTTCAAGCATGTGCTGTTCTGTCCCAACAATGGCCCTGTGGGTGTGCCTCCTCTGTTTTTAGATGTACACATTGGCTGTACCATGGAGAAATGTTTCTTATGTGGAAAAGGAAACAGTACTGATAAATAGTGGGTCCATGTTCCTGAGAAAGAGAACGTGACGATGAGTTTGAAGGGGAAAAGGTAACAATCATAACATTTCACTCCTTGAAAAAGCAACTGAATCTAATGAAACAATACAGATGCCACCTATCTGAAAATTTTATTAACTTAAATATAACAAAACCAAATTTATATTTTGGGGGTATTTATTTCTTAAACAGAGGTAAGAGACACAATTGATAGTGTAAGTGTGCTTCGAAACTCTATACACAACGTCCTGCGTGTAGTCATTTCTTCTGCAATGTACTGCGGCCGCACAGCATGATGGATGAGAACTCAACATTGGTGGCTGGACGTCCTTGGTCATAAACCAGCCTCTGCTGCTCTATGAGTTTGGGCCAGTTACACACTCTATTCATACCTGTTCCCAATCCTGAAAAATGGGTATACTGATGGTACCTTCAATACAGGCATTGTAAGGTTTAAATTAATATAGTTAAAGGCCTTAGAATGGATATGATAAGTGTTCAGTAAATGCTAGCTGGTGACATTGCTGTAACTATATTGGAAGTTCTACTCATCACTTTTCTAATGTTTCATATAATAAATTTGTATATATTTTGTGTTCACCTATGCTTCTATTATTTTGCTTTGAGATCTTGAAAACTAAAGAGTGACAGATTATAGAGCTGAGTATATGGATACCTGGTTTTAAGGGGGTAATGATATACCTGGAATACAAGCCACACAATTCTCTGAGACCCTGCCACAGCCCTGCTTTTCTAAGAGTAATCCTGGGTAGTTTGGGGCCTGCTGTTTAATAATTTCTTTTAGAAAGATTTGTGCATGACTAGTTTCAATGAGGTGGCGATTAAAGATGTCCCCAAATCGGACTTTTTCAAAATACTCTACCACTCTGTTATTGCTGGTATCAAGCACCACTTCTCCTCTCAGTCCAGTTCCTCACACTCCAGGTTTCTGCACTCCATTGCAATATCTCACAGAACTCCCAAACCATTAAGAAAATGGCTCATACGCTGTGGAAGCTGGTAAGTCCCAAATCCAAAATTCAGACATCTGTCTGGAGCAATAGTTCTCAACCTTCCTAATGCCGCAACCCTTTCATACAGTCCCTCATGTTGTGGTGACTCCCCAACCATAACATTATTTTCATTGTTACTTCATCACTGTCATTTTGCTACTGTTATGAATTGGGTGACCCCTGTGAAAGGGTCGTTCAACCCCCAAAGGGGTCGCGACCCACAGGTTGAAAACTGCTGGGAAGATCCTCCTCATCCATGAGGTAGAGGAAGCTGGTGAATTAGGTCATGTGACAGATCATAACTCAAGTCCGGAGAACGGGAGGTCAGGACGAGGCAGGCGGGGTGCAGGATACAGATGAAGAGAACCAAATGTCCACAAGCGGAAGAAGGTCTTGTGCGCTGAGCCAGGCCAGCACGGATACTAGGACCCTCATATCCAGAGGACTCTAAGGGAGGCCCTGCTTTGTTTGTTTCTTTTCTAACTTTTGCAGTCCATACCCCCAAGGAAACAAAGACCCGTGACTGGGATTATGAGCATACATGTCGAGGCTAGAATTGACAATACATCACAAAATGGGGGACAGTGGCTAGAAGGACCATAATGAGTCATGGACTCCATCCGACCCGCTTCCCATGTATTTCCTTTACAAGAACCCACTATCTCTTGAGGAAACTGAAGGCACATTCATACTTTACAGAGCGTGCGGGGCTCAGTTGCAAGGCCAGGGATACCAAGACTCGCGCTCTAGGCTTACATCTTCTCTTGACTCTGTCTGGACTCGTTTTGAAACTAGATCGCTCTATCCCTTTATAAAACTGTCTCAATTTTGGACTTAAGAGTCATGACTTAAAGTCGGACTTCTGGATTTATGAATCAAAGCTGTAATTACACACATCTTCTCTATGGTCATCCCCAGGAGCTAGACTCAGGCCTGCAATGGGAGGTCGGTCAGATAATGGGCAGATGGGATGGAACCTGGTGATCGACAGTCGAATTGAATAGGAGGGGATGAAAGCAGTAGATTTTTTAGGAACTAAAAATTATGAACAGCCCATGTGAAGGACAGGGCAGAGTCTAGAGTAATTCCAACTTTTTGAGGGGGGTCTTGATTGCTTAGAGAGGGTCTGTGAATAAGAAATGACACACCTCTCAGCAAAGAGGATACGTTACCCCATTAAGGTGGCTTGGCCATTTCAGGGAGAGCTTTCCAAAAGACAATTGAAAATCTGATTTCAAGACTGTAGACCATTTTGTTTATTCCCCTGATGGCCAATCAGTGTGTAGAGTAGACTGCTATTTGCTCTGCCTTGTGTATTTGCTTTTCAGGAGGATTTGGCTTTGTGCTGTACCAGGAATAAAGTCATGTCATTCATCTCTGAGTCAGCTAAGCCTGGGCTTCTCGGAGCACCAGGAGGCTGAGTTCTAGAAGGTTGCTATCTCTTTTAATCATCAAACATGACAGGAACATAAGTTACTAAGTCATGCAGAAAGCGGGTAAACAACCCCCTATCAATTCTACCGCAATACATTTAATTTCTAAACGAGGAAAAGAATGCACGAAAATAGCAGCTTGAAATCATCCGACGGTTCCAGGAGCAGCTTCTGGTATTCTGTGCTGGTAAAGATGATCGCTTCAGTGACTTAATGGGCAATAGTAATAGCGTCATTGAGTGACACACTGCAGGCCATGGTCTCAAACACAAGTACAAGAAGAGAAAATGGTAGTATTTCCCAAAAAGTATTTGCATATTGGTTTGTAATGTTATGTTTAAAAATAAATGTCTGCTAGGTATTGATGATGTGCTTGAAATAAAAGAAAACAGCTAAAGAGCCAAAAAAAAAAAAGGCAGAGAAGTCTGGAAAAGAGGAAGAAAAGGGGATTAGAATAAAGGGGAAGGGGCTAATAAAAATCTGAGACAAAGGTAAAGTCCTAATAGCCATTTCCTTAAAAACAGAAGACATAAGCACCTCAAACATATAAAATGGAAGAACATCTTAAGGGGAAAAAGAACACAGAATCAGAAGAAGGAACCGGAAATCACAATGAGAATCCAGCCTCCCTGAGTGGCCATTTTTATTCCCTAAAAGCACTCTCTCAATAAAGTGTGACCACAGCTCCATAGAATATAACAAATATAAAGTTATGCATGAAAATCATGAAGAAATGATCCAAACAAAATAAAACCAAAAAAACCCCTAATGTCTTTCTTTGGTGGATGAGACAATGAATGGGTTTTTCTTCTTTCTGTTTTTCTATACTTCTTTTTTTTTTTCTTAACATGAAGATCTATCACTTACATAATGGACAGGCACTAACTTTATTCAAAATGAGACGTCATAGCACATTTCATATTCAAATTTAACCACCGAACCCTATTCTGCTGCTTGCTCATTCAAGGATGGAACCAATGACATCCTTTGCTGAACAACAGGGAGGACAAATTTCCCCCTGGAAAAAGAAGAGCTGGCTCTTGTTATGGCCCATTGCTTAGCCGACCTTTGCCGTCAGGCCATCTGCAGTGGGCGTTCTGCATTGCCATCGCGTCTCCTGGCACAGCCACAACGGGCCCCCACTCTTTCCCATCTGCGTCGTGTTGGGCTGGTGGGGTCTGGGAGGAGACGGCGCTGTGTCCCCTGGGCGCCTTCCCTCTCAGACCCCCACGGTTGCTGCCGCCCTCTGGCACATGCGCTCCAGAATCCGGTGGATGCTGGGGAAGCTGGGCCGGTCGGCTGGCAGCGGGCTCCAGCACAGGCGCATCAGGTTGTACAGGTCCCGCGGGCAGCGCTCGGGGCAGGCGAGGATGTGGCCATCCCGCACGTAGTAGATGACCTCCTCGTGGGCCATGCCGTAGTAGGGCTGCAGGCCGTAGGAGAAGATCTCCCACAGCACCACCCCGTAGGCCCACACGTCCGACTCGGTGGTGTAGCGGTTGTAGAAAATGGACTCGGGGGGCATCCAGCGGATGGGGATGGCGTCATTTTCATTGGCCTTGTAGTAGTCGGCCGAGTAGATGTTCCTGGAGAGGCCGAAGTCGGCGATCTTCACCACCATGCTCTCGGCCACCAGGCAGTTCCTGGTGGCCAAATCGCGGTGCACAAACTTGCGCTCCGACAGGTAAGCCATGCCGGCGGCCACCTGCCTGGCGATGCACAGCTGCTCGGCGCAGGAGAGCGGCGGGGGTCCCGGACTGGACACCCGCACCCGCGCCACGTCGTCGCCGTGGCTCCGGGTGCCCGCGTTGTGCGGAGCCATGCTGCGCAGGAATTCGTTGAGGTCGCCATAGGCCATGTATTCAAAGAGGAGGCACATGGGCTTGCCGACAGCGCACACACCTGCAAGCAGGAGCACGGCCACGGTTAGGATGGGTTTCTCAAGGGACCCGGTGGAAAACCTAAGCCAAACCAGGTGCCAGGGGAGCCGACGCGGACGCCTGGGAATTCCGTGGGTGTCAGAGTGGGACAGGGCTCCATACCCCAACGGTTGGTATCGGAAGGCCACGGCCTTAGTCTACGCACCACCCAGAGCCTCCACAACATGAGGGCACGAGCCCCCGAGTCAGATGGGCCAATCAGAAAAGAGGGACCTTGGGTGAACAAGGCCATAGACAAACCCTGGTCCTATTTCTTTATCTAACCATCTCCTGTTTCCTTTCCCCCCCTTTCTAACTGTTAATTATTTTGTGGTTGTGGAAACCACATACAGCAAAATAGTTTCCTAAGAATGGATCCTTCAGCCATTTGCACACGTACTTTCGTGACATGGAGCACAGTCTTCCAGTTGTGGAACTGCGCTCACTGTTCTGTTCTGACTCCTTGCTCCCTCTTTAACTCGCACTCGCTGCGCCCCGCGATCCTGCCTGCTCCTTCAGCAGCTGCTGGCCTTCTGAGCGCGTGGAGAGAGTTCTTTCACAGAGCACATGCCCGAGGCAGCCCGCTTTTTATTCAGTAAGCTAACGTATCATTTGGTTTTAAGGTAACTTCAGAAATATGTTTGACTTACTTAAAAAAAAATTATCTCAGGATGATAATTTCAGGGGCACATCCACCCAGCATGACTCTAGAAACTCTGCAGTCCATAAACGTGAAAAGTTTCCTATTTATCTTTTAAGATTTCGCTTAATTATTACTCTGCTTAGAATGTTTTAGCTGGAGACCCTACCAGGATTAGCTTTTCCGTCTAGCATTGTACCTATCACCCTTTATTGTCATCTTCCATCTATTTGTACGTTTCTTCTGAGTATTTAGGCATTTTGAAATTAGAGTTTTGTTTTATTCTTCTTTAAGTTCCCCATCCCTTAATATGTCTGGAAGAAGAGGTGCTTATAAATGTTTAGGGAATGGATAGCTGCATTTGGTATGCAATGTAATTGCCCTGGGTTGTGATTTCCTTCTCTGACGAAGAAGAATTAGAAGGATGAAGTATATAAAGTTTGGCAGGAAAGCAAATAAACTCACAAAAAAATAAAGGAAAATAATCCAAGATTCTGAAATGAATATTCAGGTTGCTGCGATAAGACTTCTTAAAATTTAGGTTTTATGATGCTCACTTGTTGGAAAGAAAAAAACGATAACATGATTTTAGACTTAATACTAAAATGGCATTTGCAAACTAAACCCTTGCTATGTTTGGGAGAGGAACTGGGAAAGTTGGAATACGTAAATCAAAAGGGCAGGATTTCAGAACACCATAAAAATAGATTCTTAGATCTATTACTGTTTTCCAGGCAATTAGAAAAACCTAGAATCTCTGTTCACAAAGGATGAGAGAGAGAGAGAAAGGAACACAGGTAGAGCTTGTTTTATTGTGTTGCACTTTATGGTGCCCCAAAGAGACTGTGTTTTCACAAATTGCAGGTGTGTGGCAACCGCCCAGCGATCAGCTCCATCCCCACCATGTCTCCAGCAGCATGTGTACCCTTAGAGCTCACTCTGGGTCACATTTTGGTAATTCTCAGAGCATTTCAAACTTTTTTTTTGTAATGCTATTGCACACTTAGTAGATTAGAATGCAGCATAAACAGAAATTCTATATGTGTGTGACTCATTTTATTTCAATATTTTCTATACTGTGGTGGTCTGAAATTGGACCTATAATATCAACATTATCTTGGCTTATTGTGTAGAGGGTAGTTTTTAATCACAGGAACTCGAATGATCAGCATACGGATATGTCCTAGGGAAAATCAAAGGAATGGCAACATATTTCTCCTGGGCAGGTCTCATTTTGAACTGAAGTTGTTTAATGAAATATCTTACTCCCTGGTACAGAATATATTATACAGAAGCTTCATTCTTTGTGACGATAATGATCAAATAAAAGGGCAAGTCAAAAATACTGCTACAAAATCACAGACACATTCACTAAACAAAGGTGTGAAGTGACGGCTTTGCAACATATCCTCCATTGAGATCTGCATACTTCTGAAGGCAGTATTCCCATGCCTTTAACCCTCTCCCTTTAGCCCTCCCAGTATTCCCATACCTTTAACCCTCCACCTTTAATCCTTCCATGCCTTTAACCCTCCCCCTTTAACCCCTCCCAGTATTCCCATGCCTTTAACCCTCCCCCTTTAATCCTTCCATGCCTTTAACCCTCCCCCTTTAACCCTCCCAGTATTCCCATGCCTTTAACCCTCCACCTTTAATCCTTCCATGCCTTTAACCCTCCCCCTTTAACCCTCCCAGTATTCCCATGCCTTTAATCCTCCCCCTTTTAAAAATACCACATAAAAATAGCAATTTTAGCATCCTTCAGGAACTCAAATTGTGTTTCTTTTCAATGTTCTGGGGGAAAGAAAGCCTGAAGGTGCAAGATCCGGGTTGTCTGGTGGATGGAGTAAGGTTTCCCAGTGAAAGTCTCCTAAGAAAGACCTTGTTACTGTCAAAGAAAAAGCAACCACTGTCATGTTGGAAAAAATTTCCTTAGCAAACTTTCCTGCCTCTATATACCAGTGTAGTTTTCCATTAAAAAAAAACACCAAAAAAACTTCAAATAAGCTCCTGTGGAGTTTTTTCCCTATTCTTGAGAAAAATCTATCAAGATTACAACTTTTAATTCCCAGAAAAAAAGTCTCATCTCTCTGCCTTGAATTTAATGGAGTCAGCAGATTCCCTTGGCAGCCCCTGCTGAGGACGCCTTAGTAAGACTAAAAGACACGTGTGTGTGTATTCCTGAGACAACTGGTCTACGGTCATTCGCTGATGGCAGAAACATGTTTTTAACATATTTTGTTTGGAATAAACCCTTGAATGTTTGAACTGAATGCTAGTAGCAAGACTTTTTCACTTATACTCATACATGTGTGTGTGCATGCATACGTGTGTGTATGTGTGTGTCTAAAATCCATTGCTAACAAGTCAATTCTGACTCCTTGGTGTCCTGTGCCGAGTTTCTGAGACGGTAAGTCTTTATAGGAGCATACAGCCTAATTCTTCTCACATAGAGAGGTGGGTGAATTTGAACAACCAACCTTTGGTTAGCAGCTCAATGCTTAACTCACAGAGCCACCAGGGATTGGTCAGTCTATCTGTGTACCTATCTATATACACATACAATTTGCAATACTATATATGAGCAATTATATGAGCTTATGTAATCCTTTCTTTAAGAGCTCAAAATGTTTTATATAAGAATTCTAACTCTTAGTTGGGACTTCAAAGTAGAATAAAGTCCTGATAGGAAAGATTGTGTTTTGCTGACCTTTGTAACCTCAAGCTCCGTACTTTATATGTTTCATTAGAGGATCTCTATGCATATTTAATATGTTGAATGAATGGTGAATGTGTAAGAAAACCTCAAACCTTCTTAACCATGTCTTAAGCACCTCTTCAATAAATTCTCAAACTCAGTTTTAGTCATTTGCTTAACTGCCAGAACGGTGGGTAAGGCTCTACAGTTTATTGCCTTTCTCTTTTCTAAAATGCTGATCTCTACATCAGCACTCTACACATAGACCTACTTCCTTACATTTGTGCTTATAAAACTATGATACCCAAGGATTTCAATACCAGGGAATCTATTTTTAGAAGAAAACACTTTTTAGGGAGTGCCTGATAGTCCTATGGATCAAAGTAGATTTACTTTATTGGATATTAATTTAATTAATTTTACCATTATCTCTTCCTCTTTTGCGATCTTTTAAAAAATGCTACTAAAGTCCAAAAAACTGTGAGAGCATTGGAATCATGTTGGGAAAGATGACTGCTTTTACATATTTGGGTCTTATGTATATGAGACACTGAAATAATTTTAGCTACAGGTTTAACAGATAGTCATAAATCTGAGTTCTTCTTAGGAACAAAAGAAAATCTGAAAACTCAGTAATGGCTGTTAGAAACATGCTACCTCACACATCATAAACTTGCAAATCATACATTTTGTGTTCAATGCCATTTTAGGAATTCAGGATATTATAAAATAACAAATACCTACACGTGCCTTCAGAATAAACATTTTAAGAAGCAATAACAATTATCCCCCAAAAGGGATATATTTCTGTGTTCTTAGTGCAGAGCACGATCAAAAGCAATCTCTTTTTTTTATCTCTCTCAAGTCTTAGGATCACATTTTCTAGTCCAGATAAAGGTTAAGAGAGGCATCTCAGAAGCACTGTGATCACTTAAGAAGATGCCCAGTATTCCTGGTCATTGGGAAGGTGAGCATCCAAAGCACAACACAGTCCCACTGCTCCCACATTAAAATGGCAATGATCGTTTTCAAAGGATCGATTATAAAGGGATCATTTTTAAAGGGAGGGGTCAACAGGTGTTAGTAGGTCGTGGAGAAATTGAAACTCTACCCTGATGGGAATACAAAATATTCCAGGCATGGTAAGGGAAAAAGTTGGCAATTCTTTAAAGGATTGAGCACAGAACATGGTCCACCAATCCCAATTGGAGAATTGAAAGCAGAAACACAAACAGAGACTTACATACCAGTGTTCACTGAAGCTCGTTCACAATAACCCAAAGGGGGAAGCAATGAAAATGTTTCCCAACAGAAGAATGGATAAATAAAATGTGGTACTTACTACACACAGTGGAACGCTACTCAGCCACAAAGAGAGAGAGAGTTTGATGCGAGGGCAACATGCATAAACACGTGGTGTATGGCACTCAGTTAAAGAAGTCAGGAAAAATACTGCACGATATTGCTTAGATGAAACACAAATATATCCCAGATGAAATCATCATCATCGAGCCATTTCAGATGCATAGCAATTGACAGAGAGTTCCCTAAACTAAACTTTTCCAGGAGCAGACGGGCCAATCTTCCCCCTGCAGAGCAGTCCGTAGTTTTGAACCACCAGCCTTGAACTTAATAGCACAATACTTGCTTACCTCACATTACCACCAGGACTCCTACCAACCAAATATAGACATTAAAAAAGTATTCGTGCCTGACACGAGTGGACGGGTGGGGGAAAGGGATCTAGAGGCTTCAGAGTATTGAGTTTGTGTTAATGGTAGTTGGATAATTTGGGAAACAATTGTAAGAAAGGTAAACAACTTAAAGAATGTAATCACTGCCACAAAATTGAAATGGTGTGTTTTGTTATTTTCACCACACTTTAAAAAATGTGTTAGGAAGGATTCCATTTTCTTCAGGAAAGGCAGCAAAAATGGAGAGAAATGGGAGTGGGGAGGTTAAATGGCATTATTTATTAGACAATGTCCTCTAAGGAATGGGACAGGATGGATGGTCTGAGGACCTAAGCTTGGGCCACCAGGACCATCTCTAAGACCCAGGAGAAGCCTAAGTAAAGCCACGGATTAGGGCTGACGTGTAACGGAGGAAAAACTTAGGCAATCGCTGTTTCTGATCAAATAAACACCCTCTTAGATTATCATACCCAAGAGTTTCACGATGTTCGGGTTATCAAATTCCGCCATGAGGGCTGCCTCTCTCTGAAAGTCAGCTTGCATGTCCGCCGAGGCTTCTTCTTTGAGCATCTTTACGGCCACCATTGTGTAGGGTTCGTAGGGGAGTAAGCCTGGCGCCCTGAAACATAGATGTGTTTAGGATGAAAGAAACCGACGAGGAGGAGCCTTTACAAACCACATGCAGACATTTCTACCCTGCACTCGGTCTTCCTCAGACCGGAGAACCAAAGAAAAGTGCCGACAGCAGGAGCCGAGTAGTAAACCCCCGGGATTGTTTCCAGCATACGTTAAGTTTGACAGATGCATTATTTCTGAATTATGGGAATTCTAAAGTGCCCAGATCCAATGAGATGATCATTATTATTCTAGCCCTTTCATCCCTGGCCAGCAGTTAATTCCTTGAAGGTAAGGACTATATTTTACTCACTTTTATAACCTCCCCTGCCTCTCCAGAAGCTGATGTTGTATCTTGCCCCTCAGGAAAAATTGGGACACTTCTTTCTTTCAATTGATGCAATCTCCATACCAGGGGCACCACGAGTGAAGGCAAGGATGTACCCTGCCCATGGGCACTCACTGCAGGGTCATCCAGATGACCACCCAGCCCACATTCTGCCAACTGATTGGAGTCTATGGAGATGCAAATACACAGAGGGGACTTTTTCGTCCAGTTGACTCAAAAGTGCTATACTCTCTGGTGTTGGCTCGCATACAGAGCCTTATCACGAGTTCATCATTTTGCTCTGTTTGGGGAACATGGTTCCCTTTTCTGCTTTATCATTCTACAAGGGTCCATTGGGTCAGAGTTCTTAAAACAAAAGCATCAGGTGACAGTAAGCTTTAAATGAAATGAAAAATATTGCAATCGAAAATGGAAGAGAAATGGATTTGAGAATTGCTCATTGAAATGTATGATTTGAAATTTTTATTGAAAAATAAATATGGAGCTACTCTTAATTGTTTGCAATTTGAATGCTAGACAAATGAAGATATATTTTGATTTCTTATATTTTGATTAAGTGCATTAAAGTATATTCTCTCCATAGATGCAAACCTACTTTCCAGAAAAGAGGAAAATTTATTAAGATCCAAAATCTAGTACACAAGTCAAAGCATGATTCCAACAGGTCACCTAAGCTAACTATTATATACATCTAAGTGCCTTTTCAGATACAATGTATTTCAATGGAAAAAAATTTTTTTAATGTGGATAACTTTACCTTGCTTGAAAGACCCTTCCAAATGCCCCCTCTCCAATATCTCTCACATACTCAATGTTATTCCTGGGATATTCCAGGCTGAGCAACTTGGGGTTCAGAAGGAGTGGCATCCTCTGGTACATGGGGTTGGGGTGTAGCCTGTCCAGCAAAAGCTCAGAAGGAAGAGTGGTGAGGGTTACAGCTGCTGATTCTCTGCAAGGGAGATCCGCAATGAGTTCAGACTGTGGACTCAGACTTAGATGCTGAGAGACACAGCATCTAGGAGTGCACACACACACACACACACACACACACACACACACAATTACTAAGGGACTCAATAGTCCAGCAATTTTGGAGAAATGCAATGTTTTTGCTTGCTTTAGACTCCTGCTTTCTCGGGCATTTTGTCACAACAGAAGCAGCAGGAAGTGTAGGAAAGGGAAAGGGACTCGTTTTCTTTTTCCCTTCACGCACTGCCGTGGAGTCCAGGCCGACTCATAGCGACCCCTGGTGGGCTTTCAAGACTGTAATCGTGTAAGGGAGCAGAGAGCCTCAACAGAACCCAACAGATAACCACACCACCACCAAACCCAAACCAAATGCGCTGCCACGGAGTCAACGCTGACTCATAGGGACCAAGCCTCCATCCCCCATGGCTTCCTGAGACTGTCACTGTTGACAGGAACAGCACACCCAGTCTTTCTCCTGTGGAGCTGCTGGTGGTTTCGAACTGCCGACCATGCAGATCGCAGCCCAACGTGTAACCACTATGCCGCCAGAACTCCTCATTACTGTTTAGATTTTCCCTGTTGTGAAAACTAACACTGGGACATGGGACTGTGCAAAAGATCACCAATATTTTGTAAGGTCACAGCATGGGGCCTAAATTTTTATGCAGAAAATGCCATCAAGAGACTAGTGGTATTACATATAGTTCTCCTTCCACCCCTAAGTTCAATATTTACTATGTAGATTTAAAATATTGCTATATGTGATATGCCTTATTGAAAACCGTACCTTTTCTTACTTTTCCATTGTTTTCGTCTTCGGCAGCAGTACAGAATAGTTATGGTGAGAAGCACAAATATTGCAAAGCTGGACATGATAGAAATGATGACGGTCATGGAGTATGTGGGTGAGGCCGAGAAGGAGGAGGAGGAGGAGGAAGGCAAGTTTGGAATGTCCACACTTGGCTTTGAGGACATCATTGGTGGGAATGCTATAAGGAAGCAATGATAATTCATTTCACTCATTCTCAAACTTTTAAAAAAATCATTTTTTTGTATACAAGTCATCTGTGAACTAAATTTAAAATTTAAGAATACATGCATCAGGTTCTCTTTGGTTATATATCTTTTTTTTTTTTGGTTATATATCTTTAAAGTTTAATTCTAAGACTATCTCAAGGCCCAGTTATAAGTCAGTCTAGCTTTTAGAATAAAAAAAATTTAAACACGAGACTCAGTGAGCAGAAGTTTTTGCTTTGTTTTGTTGTGCTTAGTTTTCCCCTAACACAAGTACAGGTCTTGGACATGTGTGCTTCATACAGCACTGTGCTGCTTATAACCTGACAACAGCCATGGGAATCGTTGATTTATTGTATAAAATATGGTATGTTTTGATACTAGAGGCAAAGAGGGACTAGAGCTGAGACTTTATACATGTTTTCTTTTGATTACAAGAAGAATAAAAGTAATGGACGGAGATGATGAAAATATTGGAACACAAATCAAGAGAAGTTAGTTTATCTGAAAACCCAGCTCCTGTCAAACACCTACTAAAATGGCCAGTGCTTTAGCAACACAAGGTGGAACCGGCATGACTTGGCAAACAAAAGGTGCCGTGCTGATCATGTTTGTAGGGTGCCAAGTCTGTTGGACATCTACTGAAACATCTCCATCAGTAGTGAAATCTGTGGAAGGCAGAAATCTGTTGCAGAATGAAACGCCAACCTCTCCCATTTAGATGAGCTCCAGAAAAGTGGCAAGACAGCTGCCTGTCAAAGGAGGAAAACCCCTTGGAGGTGGAAAACAGGGCAGTTCCCTTCAAGGTCCAGCTGCCACAGGATTCATTGTAATTATATTTTAAATCCTCCTAGTAGATTGAGGAAAGGCAAAAAGAGAGATGCCAAGTGTTTTAACAATATAATTGGCAATAATGTTTTAATAGCTATAAATGAACTTTGTACTCTAATAAAACACAATCCAAACCAAACACATTGCTCTTGCGTCAATGCAACTGTGTAGGACAGAGCAGAACTGCCCTGGAGGATATGGAAGGCTGTAAATCTTGACCAGAGTAGAAAGCCTCATCTTTCTCTCACAGAGTAGCTGGTGGGTTTGAACTGCTGACCTTAGAGTTTTCAGTCTAATATGGAATCCTATATGCCACTGGGACACCTTACTGGACCAAACCCACTGCCACCAAATCAATTCTGACTCATAGGGACCCTGTAGGACCGGTAGACCTGCTCTTGTGTTTTCTGAGGTTGTAACTCTGTACAGGAGTTGAAAGCTTCCTCTTTTCCCCACTGGTCCCTATTAAGACAAGAATAAATGTTCTCCTCAAATATTTGTGTGTTACTGACAAAAATGATCTCATCTCAGACTACAAGATCATTCTTAATAAATTTAAAGAAGCAGACATTACCCAGATCTACTCTGTGATCAAAATGTAACAATATTAATAAAACTCAAAAAACATTAAAAAGAAAAAAATTATAAATTTGTTCAAAGACTAAAAAGGAACCATTGTTACAGATTAGAAAATAATTTTCTAATCATGTAGATGAGATTTGGTCAAAACTGTGCTCAATGACAAACCCATAGCTTTAATTACCTCCATGACATAAAAAAGTGAAAGTGAATACATCAAACATTTAATTCAGGACTTTGGAAAAGAAATAATAACTACAGAAATCAGAAGAGAGTGAGTGTTAAAGTCGCAGCCATATGAAAGTACAAACTAATATGTTAGAATACATGATCAGCAATGAAAAAATTGAGAAATAGATCAATAGTTGATATTTTTAAAGTAGTGGATCCAGTGGGATTTTAGCTTTAAAAAATAGGGCAGACACAAACATACAAAATTAGAATTAATGAAGATTTCTGATAATCCAGTCAAAGGTCAATAAAGAAGGAAGTATTATATTTTTAAATCATAAGTACAAATATAGGAACCTGTTAATTACCATATGTGAAGTATTACAACCAATCCAAATTCACTGCCATTGAATCAATACTGACTCAGCGCCCCTCTGTGGGTTTCTGAGACTGTAACTGTTTACAGGAATAGAAGGCCTAGTCTTTCTCCCACAGAGCTGCTGGTGGTTTCAAACTGCCAACCACGAGGATCGCAGTGCAATAGAGATGTAATCACTACACCACCAGGGGTCCACGTGAAGTATTAGACAGCAATACATAGCCATAAGCAAGAAGTTAGTTTTCAAAGTCATTGTAGAGTTATGAAGGCATTCTTTCAATTTTAGAAGAGATAATATTTCTATAGTTTAAAATATGTTCCAGTAAAACAAAATTCTTTCAAACTCCTTTCGGGTGTGACTATACAACTAATATCACCACCTGACCAAGTTAGGACAAAAGAAAAGAAAACAGCATACACCGATTACATAGAGTATACACTCAAAAAAATCCTTAGTAAATACTAGCAAACAGACTGCAATCATATAGAAAGGGAATAATGATTTAATAAGAAAGCGTATTAATATAGCACATGACAGTCAAAGTCAAAAGGAAATGTTTGTCTTAGTAGATGCTTAAAGCCATTGGAATCGGACTCCTGCCAAGGCAGACACTGCAGTGGAGCACCATGTGTGACTCTTGGTCCAGGTGGGGACAGAGGGGGGAACAATTCCGAGGTCTGTGGAGGCCGAGCGTGGTCACCTGGGAGGCTCAAGTGGTACTTGGACCTGGAAGAGCATCAGCATAGAAGTAAAACATCTGTGCGGGACGAATGTCAACCTCTCAACAAACGTCCGCAGCAAATCTGATTTCTAGAGTCCCTCTGTGGGTGCTGGGCAAGCTGGCCCGGTGCCCTTAGGACTAGGTTTCTGGATCCACCCTAAGTGAGTGGTGAGCGGTGCTGACATTGGACAGCTTGAGTTTCCTGCTCTTGGACATTGGAGACATCGCGCTTCCTGCTAATCACAAGTCCGAGCTATTACTGAAGGACAGGGAGAAGGGACTGTTTTAGTATCTGAATTTTATAACATGTGAGGGAGTATAATGAGATATCTACAATTGGAAGTCAAGTCATGAACAAACGTAAAGGTTATTTTTCTAGAGAATGTCAGAAAATAGAATATAATGATAGATTAAGTGAATAACCATAATGAATAAGTAAAATTTATTTTAAAGCACAAGCATTGTGTTTGGTCTGAGTAATAATTTTATTCTATTGAGTTTAAGTATTTGTTTTCAAGAAGCTTTGTTCTTGCTTTCTCTCCTTGTTTGAACATTTTATCGTGGGTTGAGTAAAATGTCCCCATTCATTAATTTGTGCACATTTTGTTTCATGAGATCACTTCCAATCCCCTCAATGCAACAGCACTCTTCTCATTTTCCACCTACGATCCCTTCCTGCCTTCTGAATTTTGTTTTAGGGCGAGCGCTACCCTCTTGGTCCCATAGAGTTGATGGTTCTGAGGAGCACATTCTTCCTCAGTGTCATTTGAGGGCTGAAAGGCAATCTCTAGGAGTAGGATCAGCTCCAGGTTCAAGGGTGATTAGGGCCAGAATTTCGGGTTCTACAATCTCTACCAGACCAGTAAGTCTGACCTTTTTATGAATTTAGACTTTGTTCCACATGTTCCCTCACAAGCATAGGATTCAGTAGTGGAACTCAGACCCCATCGAGTTCTTCTGGTCTAGTGGAAGCTGTGGTTTGTGCGCTTCATTAATCCTTTGGACTAAGTAGGTCCTTGCATCTTTTTTTAAGACTTCGTTGCTCCAGTTGGGAAGAGGCTAACAACTATATCACAGATGGCTCCATCAAGCTTTTAATACCCTCGTCACTGCTTACCACAAACGAGTAGAACATTCTATTTATGAGCGATGCTATGCCAATTGATCTGCATAGACCCAGAGTATGGTCCTAAGCTTTCAAACTCAGTGACTCCGTTTCTTGAGGTGTTCAGTTATGGATAAGAAGTTTGCCTGATTTTGTTCCCTGTCTGCTGTACTAGCTACCTGGGTATATTTATTAGTGATCCAAATATGTAATTACGAATATCTTCTGTCAAACCTATATATGCTCATGTTCATACCTGCTCACCTTATATATCTGTCTTTGTATCCACTAACAAATTATTGGCTCTAACTGTGAGTGCAGTGTGTGTGTGTAATAGTATTTACCTTTGTTACCTTTTACTCTGTGCATTGCCCTGTTTCTTGGTCCTCTTGCCCTGATCTCCTCCTTTTCAGGTACGATCTTTCTCTTCTAAGCTACTATATGTCTGCTAAATAGTTATTAATGTTTTCTTCCCTCCTCCTCTCATCCCTGGTAGCTAACACAGGTTGCTTTCTGTTTGTAAACCTTTTCTTGACTTTAGAAAGCAGTGGTCTCATACAATGTTTATCCTTTTGTGATTGTCTTATTTCACCCAGTATAATGACCTACAGGTTCATGCATGCTGTGAGATATTTCGTGGACTCAGCATTATTCTTTAATGTTACAACGTATTCTACTGTGTGTGTACTGTAGTTTTTTTAACCCATTCATCTGTGGATGGGCCCTTCAGTTGTTTCCATCCTCTTGCTACTGTGAATAATGCTGGGATGAATATGGGTGCACATAGATCTATTCGTGTCACTGCTTCTTGTGCTCTAGGATCTATACTTCATGGTGGGAATCCTATATCACATTGCATCGATCAGTTTACGTTCCTACCAGCAGTGTATCGGAGTTTCACACCCTCACTAGCATTTGTTATTTATGGGTTTGTTTGTTTGTTTGTTTTCCCCTTCCAATCATTGCAACGATTGCTAGGTAATGATAATATTTCATTATTTTATTGTTTTGTTACTTCTTGATTACTGCTCCCCCCCCACACACATACACAAAAACATTTTTATTGGGAGCTAATACAGATCATATCGCTCTATAGTTCAATCACATCATGCATAATTGCTACCTTTGGCCTACTTGCTCTTGCTTTTTCTAGAGCTACTTCACAACTCTTTGCTTTCACTTTCATCTTTTCTCTCATTAGTGTTGTCTCTGCCTCTGAACTTCAGGGGAGTTTGATTCAGTCGCTCAGCCATACAGTAATGTAGCCATTGAAGTCTACTGATGGGTCTATATAGGCAGACTATGGTAGCACGCATGCATTTAAATACTAAGCTGAGAAACAAACTCATAAGCACAGAATTATGAAAAAAGGTAAGTGTTACAAGAGTGTTAATAGGGGGCTTTGCGGACACTCGGGGCAGCATGGTCTTTAGCTTTAGGCACACTGAGTAGACTTCCTAGAAACAGTAAGTTTCAGTGAAATGTAAGTAGTAAGTGGGCAGCAGACAGTTGTGATGACATGTAACTCAGGAAATGCATTCCTACACATGTGTCCTGGTGCATGTGCTCAGTTAAAGTGATCAGTTTATACTATTTGGGGCTCATTTTCTGACTTGTACAAAGGACTTTATAAAACCTTTTCTTAAGATTAAGAAATCGATTTATTTGTACTGCTGAAAATCCTGTCAAATGAGTGTAGAAAGCATAACTATTTTTTCAGTGCTTTTGTTGTCTAATTTTGGATAAGCCCTCAAAAGGAAGCCCTCTCTGAATGTTTGAAGGGATGAATGAGTCAATGATTGAAGGATAACAAAGACCACAGTCACCCATTAACAGTCCAATCAAACTAAACATTGGCTGCTCAGATGACAAAGAACTGAGACATTTCTTTTTCATCCCCATTTGAGTGTAGCAATCTGACAGGCTGCAAGAATAGTAGATTTTCTTTAATAACTTGGAGTGACTCAACTGGAACCAATAACATTTTTTCTTTTAATACTTTAAGTCTTAGTCCTTGAAATAAGCTGGTAAAGTAAATCCCTCGCAAATTTTCAGGGCATTTAGCCAGGTGCAAATTAGGCCCGGAATAGGTCTAACCGCAAGTGAACATGACTTAGGACTTAGACCTCTCAACCCAAGAGTCATTAACAGACACGAAAGCACTTTTCTCACTTCACTCTGAAGACTTCTGCCTTTCGCTAGTTTAAAGCACTAGACGATACAAGTCAGTTGCTGAGACATTCTTTTCCAGCAGTTTTCTTGAATTCTTTCCTAAAGATGTTGAGATGATGTTTTACCAACCATTGGATTCGAACGTTATACCGGAAATTAGCTGTGTTAACAACTACCCTTCCCCAAAAAAGATCTGTTCTATAACTGAAGACCACGATGGTCTCAGGGAAGAAATAAACATTTACTTCTTATTCTAGAAATAATTAGATGCTGTCAAATTCATGAATGCACAAGTCATAAGGTGACCTTGTGAATTGGCTTGTTTTAGCTGAGCGACACAAAAGGTAACATGGACTGATAACCTTGAGGTAGGCGATGTTGATTGCAGCAGCCATCGCTACAAAGCCTGCCTTCCGTGGCCTATTTAGAAGCTATAAGCTGAGACCTCCCACATACCTCCTCTTCGTCTACCTAGGATGAGTACTGTTGAAGGCTGACTGAGGCCAGGCGTTCTGTCCAGGACACCATGAAGTCTGACAGTGAATATGCATGCATGAGTCCGACGACATACACATAAGGTTCCAAGGCCACACACAACATTACTTACTTGTTAAGTTTTCTTTTTTATAATCTGAGGGGGAAAGGATAAAAATTTGTTTTAAATGATCATCCAGACATCATATATATTTTGCGAGAGAGTGCTTAGAAACGCAAGCTCTCTTTCAGCTCTTTAATCTACTGCAACTGGGAGACATTCTGTGCATTTTCGAATGTGAAAGGCTTGCTGCTTTGAAAATAAGGCAGCTGTTAGGAGAACCACACAGGCCCTGATGGGTGAAAGTCATTAAAGCAGCAGCATGCTGCTGTTTTTTGTTTGGGGAGGTCAGCAGTTTCCACCATGTGGCTTATTTTCACATGCTTAAAAGTTCTGCTGCACTGCTTAAGAAAGAGGACTTTATCCCTTTATGCGCGTCTGTGACAAAATGTGGGATGTTCTTCGCCATCTTGCTGTACGTTCCAGAAAATGTTGTAAGCCCTCAAAAGTACTCCGTGGAACAAAGTAAGATCTCAAGCAGCAGATCGAGGTGCTCTGTAATTTATTTTAGAACAAATGAAATTGTTCTAAATTGGGCTAACCAGTGCAATTTGGGTAGCATTACGATTTCTGCTGTTAGGCATGTAAGGAGGTAAGAGCGCACACAAAAATGTTAGCATTTTGGAGCTTTAAGCTCCCACCCGAACTTCTTCCAAATAGTGCATTTCTCTTAGCCTCCCACGTCTTGTAAAAGTGATTTGTTACCTAAATATGGCAGTCGAGTACAGGCCATGGGGTCCCAGTGCATGCTGGGAAGCTTGCTGCATTCTGGCCAGGAGAGCAGATGCCTCCCGGGTCTGTGGAGTCCTCTGTGGGTCTTTGCTTCGATTGCCAGCCATTCTTCCGCACAGAAGAGCTCCTTCACGGCCAGGCAGTACTCTCTAAAAATTGTGGGAGAGAACAAAACTTGCTGATTTGTAGCCACATGTATGGTGAAGCCTAAATTCTGTATTTTCAAAATATCATAGTACATAATCTCTTTTACTCAGTCACTTGGGGTTGCTATGAGCAGAAGACTGACTCTACAGCAGGCGCCCTCCAATGATGGCCTGCGGGCCACATGCGGCCCGCCGAGGACATTTATCCGGCCCGCTGGGTGTTTTTGCTCCTTTTGTTTTTTTACTTCAAAATAAGATATGTGCAGTGTGCATAGGAATTTGTTTATAGTTTGTTTTTTTTTAACTCTAGTCCAGTCCTCCAACGGGTTTGAGGGACAGTGAACTGGCCCCCTGTTTAAAAAGTTTGAGGACCCCTGCTCTAGAGCACCTAACAGAGTGGATCTCCTCCACAGGAGTTTCTTGGCTGTAATGTCAGTGAAATAGATCACCAGCTCTTCTTTTCTGCAGTACAAGTCAAATGTACAAATCAAAAGAATGTTGAATATAGATTGCAAGATAAAATTTTAAAAACCAAGTATGGAGGATTCAGTAACATTGAGCTGATTTATCAATGCTCGTGGAAGCAGCAGTCATGAAATCAAACAATGCATTGTACTGGGTAGATCTGCTGCACAAAACCTGTTTAAAATGTTGAAAAGCAGGATGTTACTTTGAGGACTCAGGTGAGCTGGATCCAAGATTAGATATGTTTGATCACCTCATATGCACGTGAAATTTAGACATTAAATACAGAAGATCAAAGAAGAATTGATGCACTTGAACTATGGTGCTGGTGAAGAATAGTCAAAGTCCAGTGGACTGCCAAGAGAACAAACAAATCTGTATTGGTAGAAATACAGCAAGAATACACCTTAGAGGCAAGGATGTTTCGACTTTGTCTCATGCACATTGTCCCTGAAAAAGGACAGTAATGACCTTGGTAAAGTAGAGGGGCAGGGGACAAAAGGAAGATCCTAGACCAGATGGATTGACACCGCGGCTGCAGTGAAAGACGCAAACATGAGAAGAACAACTCTGACGATGGTGCAAGACTGGGCAGCGTTTCGTTCTGCTGTAAACAGGGTCACTATGAGCGTCGAAACTGAGTGGACAGCACCTGACAACCAGACAACAATGCTGAGCACCCTAGTCAAACAATTTGAAGACCATGAACAGAAAGTCAAACAAGAGATCAAAAGTTGCCGAGCACCATTGAGATGTAAATTTCTTTCTTTGTGATGATGAAATACTTCCTATTTATTTATACATTGGACTTGCATGGGATATGTGATCATAAAATCATAGTGACTATCGCCTAGGAGAAAGCAGAAAAATATCTTTCTCCCCTGTTCTAATTCATCTCAAACAAGTGACATTGGAACTAGTTTGTCCCTGGAGCTCACTCTCTGAGCATGATGACCAAATAAGCGGCCACCACAAATTGCATTAGCAGTGATAGTAACATTGAGAGAGACTCTGTCTTCACACTCTGGCTGATGACCTTTTATTTACCACTCACCCGTTACTTTCTAGTTAGACGATTGTCATTACTGAGTAGCACCTCAAACAAATAATTTTGGAGGATCAAAAAGGAACCCAAGAAATGGAAATCTAATTAAAGAATAGCATTTGACTGTTTCTTAAAGAATCAATATTTCCTAATCTACAGTGACAAAGTTTTTTTATTATTATTAAATACTTTTATTGGGGGCTCTCACATCTCTTATCATAATCCATACATTCATCCATTGTGTCAAGCACATTTGCACATATGCCGTCATCATCATTTTCAAAGCAGTCTCTTCCCCCTTCAGCCCCTGAGAGCAGCTCCCCATTTCTTCCCCCTCCCTCCCCTCCTTGCCCTCCCTCACAAAACCCTGATAAGTTATAAAGTTTTATTTTCATATCTAACATCATCCCCCATTGCCCCTCACCCTTTTTCCACTGTTCACCCCACTGGGAGGGGGTTCTAGGTTGATCCTTGTGATCGATTCCCTTTTTCTCCCCCCACCTTCCCTTATCCTCCTGGTATCTGTACTCTCATTGTTGGCCCTGAGGGGTTTAACTATCCTGGATTCCCTCTGTTGTGGGCCCTGTAGCAGCGTGCATGTTCTGGTCTAATCCGATTTGTAAGGTAGAATTGAGGTCATGATAGTGGGGGGAAGGAAGCACCAAAGAACTAGAGAAAAGTTGTGTGTTTCATCAGTGCTACACTGCTCCCTGACTGGCTCGTCTCTTCCCTGTGACCCCTCTGTGAGGGAACATCCAATTGTGTACAGATGGGCATTGGGTCTCCACTCCATGCTTCCTCCCCCCACTCACATTGGGTATGATTTTGTTCTGGGTCTTAGATGCCCGATACCTGATTCCATTGACACCTCATGATCACACAGGCTGGTGTGCTTTTTCCATGTGGGCTTTGTTGCTTCTGTGCTAGATGGCCTCTTGTTTATCTTCAGTCCTTTAAGACCCCAGATGCTATATCTTTTGATAGCTGGGCACCATCAGCTTTCCTTACCACATTTGCTTATGCACCTGCTTTGTCTCCAGCAATTGTGTCGGGAAAGTGAGCATTGTGGAATGCCAGATTATTAGAACAAAGTGTTTTTGTGTTGAGGGAGTACTTGAGGCCCAATGTCCATCTGCAACCTTAATTCTTAACATGTAGATATGAGTACATAGTTCTATTCCCCTCTCATTATATATATATATATATATACACATATATTTACATATGTAAATGCCTGTATTTAGACCTCTATAAATGTCCTTCACCTCCTGATTATTTCTTCTATTTCCGTTTACTTTCCTCTTGTCCCACCATCATGTTTGGCCTTCATTCGGGTTTAGTAATTCCTCGATGCTACATTACCCTTGATTAAGCCCCAGTAGGCATCCTATGCCCTTCTCTCCATTGATTTCAGTTTACTTGTTGTTCCCTTGTCCCTGGGTTTGTTCCCCTCCCTGCCTTCCTTTCTCCCGTATCCCCCTGGAACCATTGGTCCCATTCTTTTCACCTCTGAATTGTTTATCCAAGACACAGTGTTACTTCTCTCACCTATTCTCTTCACAGTCCTCTTCATGGCAAGGGTTTTAGGCTTTGTTTCTCCTCTTTCCCATCTTACTCCCTCAAATCTAGAATCCTTAGAAAGAAGTTTACATGTTGTCAAGAAAGTATGAAGATGGTAATGAAAAAATAAATTCAAGCTGCAAAAAAACAAGACTTCAGAAATTGATGAATACCAACTGAGATATTCCAACACATGCATAGAATGTCAAAAGTGCTCACTTGTTTATTCCTAGAAAGTTAGAAGACAGCTATCTGACCAACTGACAGGACAAGATCCATATTGTTGTCCATTCCAAAGAAAGATGACCCAACAAAGTACAGAAATCATCAAACATATCATTAATAGCACAAAAGTAAAATGATCACTACTTAAAAACCAGTTGCAGCAGGATATCACCTTCCTAAATTTCAAGCCAGAAGACGTGGAACACGAGATCTCATTATTAATGTCAAATGGATCTTGGAAGAAAGCACAGAATACCAGAGAGATATTTATTTAAGCAATACCCCCAAATAAATACTTTTGGGGATATGAAGACATTTAATTGTGTGTGTCATAGTAAATTATGGATAACGTTGTGAAGACTGGGAATTCCAGAGCACTTCATTGTGTTCCTCAGGAACCTGAGCATAGACTAAGAGGCAGTCATTGGAACAGAACCAGGGCACACTGCCTGATTGAAAGTCAGAAAAGGGGTGGGTCAGTACTGTCCCCTTTCACTGTCATTATTCAAGCTGAATACTGGACAGAAAATCTGAGAGGCTTGACTCTAAAGAAGATCAGAACATCAGGATTAGAAGACCCATCAACAACCTATAATATGCAGAGGATACAATGTTGCTTAGTGAAAGTAAAGAACATTTGACGTACTTTGGATGAAAATCAAAGAGTACGTCCAGCGTGGGTTACGCGGTCCGCATAAAGGAGAGAAACACCTTCACAGTTGGATTAATGACTAGGAATCGGCTTGCTGGAAGTGAGTTTGGTTGGGGCTTGGATCGTGCTAAATGAAGAGAAGACGGAAGTTGTTAAGGATTTCGTTTTACATGCACAATCATTGTCCACGGCAACAGCCAATCTGATGGCATTTTACACTGGGGTAAATTCTGCTGAAAAAGGACCTCTTTCAAGAGCAAAGATGTCACTTTGAGGTAAAAAATGCACCTGGCCCAAGCCGTAGTATTTTCAGTCACCTAATAGACATGGGAAAGGCGGACAAGGAATAAGGAACACTGAAGAAAAATGATGCTTTTGAATGATGGTGTTGGCAATGAATATTAAATAGACCACCGATTGCCAGAAAAAGGAACAAGCCTGTCTCGGAAGACGTGTCGTCTCTGTCGCACGTACTTGGGATGCGCTGTGTGAGGGGGAAGATCCTGGGGAAGACCACCACGCTCCATAAAGTAGAGGGTGTATGAAGACGAGAAACCCCCTCATCAGAGTGAACCGGCCCAGCGGCTCCATCAATGAGCTCACACAGAGCAGCGATTGTGAGGGTGGCACAGGACTTGACATCGTTTCATGCCGCTGTCCGAGGGTTTGCTAAGGGTCAGAATTGACTCAGTGGCACCTGACAACAGCCGTACGCTTCAATCCTGTCACCTTTGCATTTTGAAGACAAGGAAACTGACATTTTTTGCATTGAGGAAGCAGCACCCGCATGTAAATTTTGCTCTATTTGGCTCAGAATCAAACGACTTGCTATGTTTTCTACCATTAGAAGTACATTAAGGCAACGATAACGATTGAACAAGGATTTATGAAGTTCAATGTTTAATGGAGATGCCGATTCACCATACATTTCTCCAAAAGCAACGAGGGAAGATCATTAAGGTTGGCATATTAGATGGAATTTATTTACTTAAAACGTAATATTCTGAAATGCTAACCATGAATTCATAATTATGAAAAATAATGCTGAACTAATTAAAAGACTGCATGCATTTCTCTTGTTTCTTTTAATTTTGACTTAATGGGTCCATATTAGTTTAAGACTTTAGTTTTTGTTAGAAAACAGAGGCATTGACAAAGATGACAGCCGAATGAACAATAACAAGAATAATGTACCTTTCATGCTATTTTAGAGGAAACTCAATGCCCTATCTGGGGTATCATCTATGACTTCTATATGGCAGGAATTTTGTCCAATCATAGTACCTCTTATTTTAGACAGAAGCCTGTCCTGGTGACATGATACTTTCTTTTGGAAACTGCACTTGTTTGCAGACAGACAAACATTTAGTTTAGTTTTGTCTTACCTGCAAATGGGCTTAGGAGTCGGTGCCATTCCGGGGTTGCAGCCTCGGAAGATGTGGCTGCACAAGAGAGCCTCGGCAGCTCGCCTGCAGAACGGGCTCACTGCTTTCAGCTCATTCCAGCCAGTGTGAACCAGCAGCTCTTGGGCCTCCTCAGGGTCCGCGTAGGAGGTGTTGAAGAAGACAACAGCATCTTTGGCTAGGATGCTGTTGCACACCTCCCCTCGGTACTGGGCGCAGTAACCTTTGTTATCTTTCTGCGGTTTACTGAAAGAAGCAATGAAGGACAGTGCCAATCACGTGACAGTTCTTGGCATCCAGTCTGCTTTTTTTTTTTCTCTTCACTTTCCACTCTGCATCGCAGAAATGGGAGAAAACTATCCTAGTAAATGGTTGAACTAATACAATCGAACAGTGTCTTCATTTCCAACTGCCATAATCATAGCTAGCTACTCCAGAGGGCTATTGGAAATTATCATGGACTAAATAGATTGGGGTATATTTATTATTTATATATACTTTATATATACATTATTTATAATTTATGTTATAAATGGAATGTGACTACTCTGTATTAGCTTTCCGTGTTTTCTGTGATGTTCTTGGGAGCACGGAGGGTTGGAGTTGGTAGCCCATCTGTGCTTGAATTTTACCTCTTCAAGGAAAGGGATATGCAGGGGACGGAGGGGTGGGCGGTGGAGGGGACACAAACCAGACTGGTCACTATTTAGCTTCAAACAATTCTCTTTCCCTTGTATGCCTCCTCTTTTGCAAAGACTTGTCACCCTCAGCTTCAACTCAGTGATTACATTTTAGAGGCAAGGCAAGGAAGTGGATGATCATTTTGTTCCGCAGCCTCTTAAACAACAACAAAAAAGGGATTCCCAGAAAGCACCGGGGAATGAGATGAATACAAAGATTTTCCAGAATTCTTCGCTGTGAGAGTGAGATCCGTCCCCATCTGCGTTTCAGTGGGTGCGGCCTGGGGACTGCCATGCAGCAACACTAGCAGCGGCTGGTCGCATCGCCCATTCCAAGAGTGGGGCAGAGGTCACAGGGGTCTGCTCCCAGCACGCCGCCTTGTTTGGGAGGATCGGCTATAACTATCTCCTAAAAATGCTAGCTAATATCGGAGATGGAGCCAGTCTGTCCCTACCCTCCTGACAAACGGGGCCTGGAGGACTTCATTTTCTGTAAAAGTTTATCTCTGCAGAGGTCACCAGGATGACTGGATCCCTCAGTTCCCCTTTTAAACTTCTTTTAAAACAGACAACTCTCCTTGGCAAGACAGCATTGAAAGAATGTCAATACAAGTTATTCTTTTTCTGTACACCCTTTACACTTCCCCCTTCATTTAAAAATGTAGGAGTACCAGTCACCTCCAGTCGACATTTCAAAGTGCTCTTGGGTTCTAGGAGGGAGAAGTCGATTGCTTTGGAACACATAACGTTGTCCATGGGTAATCCGGATGTGTGCCATGACACCTCTTCACATGCTGCTTTGCCTCTTTACCTGCCGCCAGCGGACTCATCTGATAGCTCTACCTTTCACTGAGGATGGACAGGCCCTCCCTTCCATATCCACGATTCCGTACTTGGCTTGGCCCTGCCCAGAGGTACCTTGGAAGATAGGCCTAGAGACTGCTTAGGAAAGGTCCTGGCCTTCAAAGTCCTATGGAGCCCCGTTCTGTCCTGTAGTCTGGGGGTCCTCCTGAGCTCACGACTGGATTGTCTGGTTGCCTTCCCTCCCCTATAGGGTGAGGAGTGTATGTAATGTTCTTTGCCTCTTTTTAAAATATAAAGCCAGCAACCGAGTGGGTCATTCAAGCTGTCAGGTATGTAAAGAAAACAGGTGAGTGCGCTAAATCATGTGTGAACGAAAGGTGCCCTTGGTCTTCATTTGTGTTTAATGTATAGAACATTTATGCCGCACATCACTTCAGGAAATATTCCATTACCCTGTCGTCAGTAAGGGTTGGGATCCTGTCTGTGACTGGGACAGCCACATAAGTCTCAGTAGCGATCCATTGGGTGCATGCATGTATTAAAGGGATATGGGTTCGAACACGATGAGAATAAGCTATGCCGTTTTCTATGGCAAAAAATTATTTTCAAAAATTTTGACTCAGTCAATAGCTGGGTTCTTGAACCTTTTTACCGGGTGTGCTGGCTGGAAGGGCACTTTCATACCCTAGTTGATGAATCTGGCTGCTGGCATGCATCTACCTAAACTCTGACGGAAACCTGGTCATTTCGGAGTGGTGCAGCCCTGGGGGATCCTTCAGGTTCTTTCTATGCAAAATGGGGAGGGGCTATGACCAAACCTACTGCCATTCAGTTGATTTTGACCCCAGTGACATGCCAGCATTTCCTCCACTGTGAACCTGTCCAGGAGCAAAGAGCTTCATCTTTTCCCCCTGGAGTGTGGGTGGTGGGCTGGAACCACTGACCAACACTGGCTGAAAACACCACCAGGACAATTCTTGCCTAAAGCAGTGTCTTAAATATTCAAATCAGAAACGTGGGGTCATAAAGGTCAAATCAAACTCAGCTGCTGTGATCATTAATTACTCTTATTGTGTCCTCCTGAACTCAGTTTCCTCATCTGTCAAGTAGAGACAAATAGTAATCACATGAATAGCAGTTTTGTTAAAGTAAAATGTAATAGTGTCCTGCAAATAAAACACTAAGCTTAAAAATGTTATAGTCAAAGGTGTTGCTGTCTCTCTAGGAGAGAGGCCGTGAGGGCCCGTGCTGAGATCCCTGCTCGCGCTCATTCACTAGCTGTGCACGCTAGTTGTGCTCTTTCATCCCCGGAGACTCTTAGCTTCTCGTCTGTAAAGGAGGGATCCCAGTACCCTTTTTAAGGATAAAGTTAATTAATGTATGTAAATCTTTGCGCACAGTGCCTATTCCCTGTTAAGAAGCCAATAGCTGTTTTCTGTCTTCACCCTCAGTCTCATCGTGATCTGGCAAGAGTATTAAAAGGATTATAAATTAGAACTATTCTAAATTATGACAGTGGTAATTAGTAGACACACAAGCAGCAGAAATGTCAAACAAGACAAAACATTGATATGATAACAGCATCTTACCTCCACTCTATTCACAGGAAAGGAAGTTCCCACCGAAAATCAAATTAAAGGGAAAAGAAAAGGACGTTAGTGCATTTTCATCTTATGGTTAGAAGGAGATCGTTTTTACTTAATCTATCTTTAAATAGAAACCTTGGTGGTAGAGAGGTCACTCTTTGGACTGCTAAGTGCAAGCAAGGTTGGTGGTTTGAATTCACCAGCTGCTCCACCAGGAAAAATTGAGGTTTTCTGCTCCCACAAAGACTGACAACCTTGGAAACCCACAGGGGCAGCTCTACACTCTCTGATATGGTGGCTATGAATTGGAATTGTCTCAATGATAGTGTATTTGGCTTGAGTTTTTTCATCTTTAAGTTGCTGAACAATTCCCTGCTTTAGCTAGTAGACGAGATGCCGCATGAATGGGCACATCCGGGGAGACCAAGAAAATGCTGACTGTCTCCAGAACTATTCTTCTTGACAAGCATGTCATTTTCAAGCCAAGTCAAGCATAAGAATTAATAGCCATATTTAGTAATGATCTGCTTGGGTTGACCCGAGTCTGAATCAAGTTAGTGGCAATATGTTGGTTGTTTTTCTTGGGTCACCATCTTTGAGTCCCTGGGTGGTGCAAATGGTTCACATGCTAGGTTGGAAGTTCTAGTTCACCCAGAGACACCTCCAGGAAAAGGTCTAGGGATCTAATCAACCAATCAATCATTGAAAACCCTATGCAGCTCAGTTCTACTGATATACCTTACCATTAGTAGGAGCTGAAATCATGGCAACTGGTTAGTCACCATCTTGCAATTCTTAGTATTATTCAACAAGGTGCTCCATTGAACTCCTCCAATTATGTAGCAGGTAACAGCAAGGCTGTTACCACAGAAGTAACACAGATACTGAGTAGACTGTGCCTTGCCTCTGGAGCGTCACGTGGCTCCCAACACAAATGGCCCCATTCAGCTCTCCTGAGGCCTGTGAACCCTTGGAAGGGTGTGAGGTGACAAGGAGTTAGGAATTACTATATCTTCGTTTTTGTATAAAATCCCAAACTCCAACTCCATTGCTGTCAAGTCATTCTGAATCATAGCAACCATACAGGACAGAGCCCAACTACCCAGAGGGTTTCCATGGGCTACAAGCATTTATGGAAGCAGACTGCCACTTCTTTCTGCCTCGGAGGGAGGGCAGTGGATTCAACAGCTGCTGTTTTGGCTAGCAGCTGAGAGCTTAACCTCAGGCCGTCAGGGATTTCTTTTTTTTTATAAGAGGTTTAAAACTTCCAAGGGCTCGAGTAGAAAGAAAATGTTTTGAAAATGATGATGGCAACATATGTACAAATGTGCTTGACACAATGGATGTAGTTATGGATTGTGATAAGAGCTGTAAGAGCCCCCAATAAAATGATTTAAAAAAACAAACAAACAACTTCAGGCATGACCACATTTTTTGTGATTTAGTTCCCTGTGGGCCATCTCATCCTCAGTGTAAAAAAAAAAAAGCTAAGTCTTCTGTAAAACTAATTTCTCCTCTTAGAATTTCCTGTCATGCTGAAGCATAACTACTTTAGAAGATTTTAGATCCATTCGAGTATTTTCTTTTGGCAATGCTAAGGTTTTTAAAATTAATTCCTCCAGAGAGGAGTTAATATTGGAATATGATGGCTTTATATGTTTAATTGTTTCTTTTTTCTTTTTTTTCAAAATCAACACACACCCTCCCCCCAGACTGTTTTTAGAGCAGTTTCAGGTACTGTGGGGGTAGGGAGTCGGGGGAGAGTACAGAGTTAGCATATACTCGTTTCCCTCGACATACTATTTCTGCTATTAGTAGCGTCTTGCTTGTGTGTGATGTCTTTATTACCTTGCGGAACCAGTACTGATGCATTTGTATGGACTTTTCATTTGGTCAGCTTGCAGATGAGACTCAGAAACCAAGGGCATTGCTTTCATAAAGAGTAGAGATTCATCAAATTTGGGCAGAAAGGGAAAAGCTGTCACAAGTCATCAGTTATTCCCTTTCAACTGGCACTTCAGAATCATTTTTCAAAATAGTATGTTTCCTACTATTCATTCATATGGAAATGATGCATCAATTTTAGTTTAAACTATAAATTAGATATCTTCATATAACATAGAATGGAACTCAAATGAGGAACCCATTTCTCTTCATTGCATTAAAACAGCAATACCCCATTAAAAAATGGACTCCGAGTTAATTTAGTTATTACAAAATTTACATGGATACCTACACACATAGTTCCATAGCTCATAAACAAAAACACCAAGCCCACTGCCATTGAGCCCATTTCAACTCACACAGACTTTACAGGCCAGGGTCAAACTGGCCCATTAGTGTCCAAGGCTGTAAATCTTCACGGAGTAGACAACTCCTTCTCTTTCCTGTGTGGCAGCTGGTAGAGTCTGAATATTCACCTTGAGGTCAGGGGCCCAGTGCATAACCCACTAAATGCCAGCAGGGCTCCTGTATAACTCATAGTCGTTTATTTATTGAGAAAAACAGCCAGAAAGAGGTAAAACTATTCAAAAGCTAAAAAGATAATAGTTTATTTTTAAGAGAATAACTTCTTTCCTGCTAAATACTGTCTTTTCTACTAATTCTTGAAAACACAAAAGTGTAGAAAATATTAGGCCATATTACTTGGCAAGCATTTCATTTTAAATTCTGAACTCTGAACATGACTTGCCTGGGTCATGAGGATAACTGGTACATCAGACTAAATTGGGTATATTTGGCTTAGGCAATTGAGTCTTAGATGAACTGATTTTGGGTCAATTTATCTATGACAAAAATATTGTGTTCAATGTAAAGAAAAGCTAGCATTTTTCTTGTCTGTTTCAATCACTTGTTGCATGGACCTTATATGAGAGAGCTTCCAAACATTCATGGAAAATCTCATTATCTTTTCGTTCCATTTTTCCTCAAACATTTTGAAGCCCCTTGGTATTTATTATACTTTCTCTCTAGCACTTAGCACGCCCTCAGGAACCACGGGAAAGAATTATAGGAAACATATAAAAGCACACACACAGCTTGACATTTTCCCCAGGAAAGTCCAGAAGGGCGCTGTCAACTCATCGTTTGTTCTCATCAGTAAGCCCTGGAACCAGCTTAAGATTCTCAGCCTTCAAATAAAGGTGAGAGGGGACCTCAGTAAAACAACACAAACAGAAATGAGTGACTTCCCTATGTCCCTTCAGCCTTCAGTGATATATATGTATGTGCACGTGGTTACACAATGTTTAATAGACATTTGATGGGGGGAGGTCTAAGAATTCGGAACCAGGACTCAAAGCTGAATAAAGGGGGCATTTTAGTAGTCAGTGGTTTCTTTCTTCTTAAACCCCAAATATTATCTCGTACACCCCGTGGGGTGTTGTGCATTTTGAAACAGTTAAGTAGAACTTAAACAGCAAGGAGAGGGAGTTCCAATATATCCCTGCCTCCACACAGTGCCACCAACATCAAGTCAATTCTGACTCACAGTGCCCTTCAGGACAAGGTAGAGTTGTTCTGGTGGGTTTTCTGAAGCTGCGAATCTTTGTGAGAGTAGAACAGCTCATCTTTCTCCCTCTCAGTGACTGGAGGATTCTATCTGCTCATGAAGAATTTGTACAGGGACCAAGAGGCAATCCTTCCAACAGAGTAAGGCAATGCTGCATGGTCTAAACTGAGGAAAGGTGTCGTCAGGGCTGTATCCTCTTGCCACCTGTACAGTGAGCAAATAACTCACAAAGCTGGACTCTCCGAGGAAGAACATGGCATCAGAACTGGAGGAAGGCTTGTTAGCAACCTCCGATATGCAGATGACATGTATGGCTTGCTGAAAGTGAGGAGGACTTGAAGCCCCTCCTTATGAAGATCAAGGACTGGAGCCTTCAATGCGGATCACAACTCAATGTAAAGAACACCAAAAGCCTCCCAGCTGGACCAATCGGTAACATTAGGATAAATGGAGAAAAGATGAGAATTGTTCAGGACTTCATCTTGCTTGGACCCACAATTAATACTCAGAGAAGCAGCCATCAAGAGATTAAAGGATTTATTGCATTGGGGAAGCCGATGCACAAGATCTCTTTAAAGCATGGTAAAACAAGGATTCCACTCTGTGGGCTAAGGTGCACCTTAACCCAGGCCATGGTATTCTCCATTGCTCGATCTGCATGAGAAAGCAGGACATTGAATAAGGAGGCCCAAAGAAGAACTCATGCATTTGAATTAAAGTCTTGGTGAAGAATATTGAAAGTAACATGGGCTGCCAAAGAACCAAGAAATCTGGCTGGCAAGAAGTACAGCCAGAAGATTCCTTTTAGCCGTGGGGATGGCGAGCCTTCTTCTCACTACTTTGGATGTGATATCCCCAGAGGCCAGTGGCTGGAGAAGGACAGCCTACTTGGCAAAGTAGAAGGGCCGTGAACGAGAGGGACTGAGTGACACTGTGGCTGAGACAACGGGCTCCAACATAAGAACAATTGTGAGAATGGTGTCGGCGCAGGCAGTCATGCCTTCCATTGTACAAAGGGTCATTAGGAGTCAGAATTGACCCAACAACACCTAACTAGCAATCCGGTGCCTGGTCTGTAGTAGATGGTCACTTTGTCACTAACTGTTGAATGACTAAAGATATGAATAATGGCTGAATGCTCCGCGTGTAATTAATTATTATCTCTCTTGTGTATTATTGTGACGAAAAAGAGAAGGAAAAAAAGAATGAACGTTTGAGAAGGGCTAGCGTTGAAAAGTCCCTGAAGCAAAAATGAAGACCAGTGCCTTCCTCCTATTGTCATCACTACTTGAAATATCCATGTGTAATAAAGTAACTTTCTTCTACCACATTATTTTATATATTCATGTAGCCTGGGTTTTTTTTTTTTAATAGCATTAAATTCCAAAGAGAATCACAAACATTTGCATCTGAGATTATTAAAAAGTGGCTGATCTGGCCCTGTTGCTCCAAATTTTCAACCCAGCTTGAATTATTCTCTTTTTCCGCCACTCCGCCCC